GGTATTCTGGACATCGGCGCGACCTCCAGCATCATGGGCATCGAGGCTGCCGAGAACCTACGCGATATCATCTATGAGCAGACGGGCAAGAACATCAAGATGGACGTTAGCCAGAAGAGTACCTTTATCTTTGGAGATGGCAACGCCAAGACCTGCACCGGCAAGGCAACCTTTCCTCTGATGATCGCCGGTGTGGACGGCGAGCTCGAGATAAACATCCTCGACGCAGGTGCCCCGCTCTTGATCGGAGTGGATGTTTTGAGCCGCCTAGGAGCTGTGATCGACTGCGAGGCACATTCTGTCTACTTCAAGAAGCTCGGGCGCCGAGCTGAACTGCTCGTCCTTCCGAGCGGTCATCTTGCACTGCCCCTTGTTCGACAAGCCGATTTTGGCTTCGTGGCATCTCTCGAGTAGGGGTCCACGCCCTCGACACCCGAGACTGCTACGGTGCCGGAGGGAAAACAGGAAAAAGAGCAGCCGATCCAAAGCGAGAACGATAAACCGTCTGCAGTGGTGCCCCAGGAGTTCCCCGACGAGGTCCCAGATAATGGAGCCCTACAGGCCTCATGTACATCATCATCATTTACGAGTACGGGGGCACCATCACCAATTACGCCTACAGCAACATCATCATCATCATTTACAAGTACGGGGACATCATTGATTACGTCGGGGACATCATCACTTACGTCCGGGACATCATCCGTATCAGCCCCGGCTCCATCACCTACGGCATTATCGGAGTTATCTCCAGAGGCCTTCCCTGAGATCCCAGAGTTTCCAGAGCTCCAAACAGAAACATCCCCGTCTCCCAGAGCCATTTTTGGTGCGAACGATTCGAGCTCAGAGCTCCGATTTCAGCAATCAGTAATACTTCCATATTCGAGCCCTGAGCTCCGACAACATCCAGTTGGCCCTACATATTCGCATGAGCCTCAACCGCGAGGCGAAATGTCGCAAAGCAGAGAGCCAGCAGATCAAGCTGGAGAACGAGGATATGGACGGCCCTTGGGAGCAGGTGGATGTTCGGGCCTCGCTACGGGACTCGGGATCATCGGCGGCGACCTCCACGTCGACGCCGGCACGGCCTACACTACAACGGATGCAGCCGCTGGGGCGACTGATCGCTCATCAGGACGCGAGGGGCCACATCTTCTACACGATCGAGGGCTCGGAGCAGGACAACAGCACGAAGCGGATGACGGACACCTTCCTGCAGGAGCACCTACCGAACTGGGAGATGTGGTCCAGCAAGCTTCTCCAGCAGTGGACGCAGTGCCGTCGCTGGGGACGAATCATCCAGAAGGTCTTCATCAAGACGATCGATCGTGTGAACTGGAAGCTGGACAGCCTCGGACTACCTGTGCAGTTGCTACCCGAGAGGTACCCGACCTGGCCGGCGGACATCGAGCATCGTGCGAAGATCGAGCCACACCAGCCGTGCACGGAGCCGAAGCAGCGCCCCCTGTCCCAGAAGTCAGCAGCCTCAGCAGCCGCGCGCGAGCAGAATCAAGAGCTGCGAGCCACCATCGAGACCGCAAAGTTAGATTTCTTGACCAAGTTTGCGGAGGTGGATGCGTTCGCAGCGCTGAGCTCGGAGCAGATCCACGAGCAGCTCAGCATGGTTACGTTGGTCAACCACCTCAAGCCGCTGTGCAAGATGTGGGGACTGACCCAGACTGGCAAGAAGGAGGAGGTGATCGACAAGATCATCGCGTACATCATCGAGCAGCGCGGCACGGCGGCAGCGACTATCCAGATCAAGAAGGAGACGGAGACCAAGAAGATGGAGACGACGGCAATGGCCGTGGGCCCGGCGATCTCAGCTCACTACACTCAGATGTGCCAGCACCCGGACTGCAAGCTACGCCGATGCATCGCCAAAAACGAGCCGATCGTGAAGATGAGGCTCTACGGTTGGTGCCACCAGGCGTGTGCGGTCAGGACGAAGGCCTGAGTGAGATTCAGGCTGAGAGGTCTCGGTGGCGCGGCGACGAGAGCAGGCCGCTGAAGGGCCACCAGCGCCAGGCGATACGGGCAGCTACACATACGACGAGGTCGGCCATTTTCGGAGCCATGTGCGCCCTCGCAACCTTCGGCCGCCTGACGATGGTCGAAGCGTGCACCCACGAGGACTCGAATCTCGGGAAGGTGTGCGACGAGAAGGGCTACCACTACGAGCGGCTCGGCCTCTTCAACGAGAACGACCTCAGCAAGCCGCAGGGCTACCACAAGGCGAAGTTCCTGCTAGACGAGAAGCGCCCGGAGCTCTTCGTCAGTACACCACCCTGCGGCCCATGGTCGATAATGCAGAACGTCAACCAGCGCAACGATCAACAGAAGGAGAACCTTCGCAGGAAGCGGCTCAAGAGCCAGCGGATCTTCGAGAACAACAAGAGGCTCATCGAGCACCAGGTGCTCAACCTGAACGGCTCGGCCCTCGCCGAACAGCCCCACAACAGTCGTTCGTGGCAGAAGACCTGCTGGAAGGATCTCCACAAGATCCTACCGTACGAGGTGATCGTGGATGGCTGCGCCTGCGGACTACGAGCCCCTGACACGGGCGAGCTCATGAAGAAGCGCTGGAAGTTCTTGACGAATGACAGGAGGATCTGGGTAGCCCTACAACCTCTACAGTGCCGTGGAGGACACTACCACGAGGAGATAGAGAGCAGCTTGAGGACCGAGGCCTCGGGCTCCTACCCCAAGATGCTGTGCCGCCGGATCCTCAGGGCTCTGACCAAGAGCCAGAACCAGAACTACTTCGAGGACGAGGTTGTGAACTGCCTCTGCATGGCAGCTACCCAGCAGCCACCGACAGAGCCTACGCCAGAGGAGGACGAGCCGACTCTCCCACCACGAGACGGCAAGGAAGCGCACAACCTCACCAACGAGACGGTCAAGAAGCTCGAGAGCTACATCAGATTGGTTCATACCAACCTCGGACACCTACCTCGAGCTCATCTACTACGATACCTTCGCGACCGTGGCGCCCGGCCAGAGGTGCTACGTTTGGCCAGAACCTTCAAGTGCGACATCTGTGACGCACATCGACCACCTACTAAGCGGCCACCAGCATCATCAGCAGAGCAGCCCCAAAACGGTCACGAGGTGCTTTTTGACGCCTTCTCGTGGATCCGTCGCAGCACGAACACGAACGTGATGGCGCTGGCGATACTCGACGCCGGCTCGGACATCCTCTACGTGCGGCTGATCGACGAGAAGCCGATCCCAGGTACTACCCGGCAAGTCCGTGCAGGCGACCTTCGGCATATCTTTGCTACAAAATGGTTCCCCTGGATGGGACGCCCGAAGGTCATGCGCTACGACCCTGCCGGCAGCGCCATCTCCGACGAGTTCCGCGAGTGGATCGAGAGCCAGGGAGTCTACTGTCTCCCATGCGCGGCCGACGCCCACTGGCAGATCGGCAAGATCGAGCGTGCCATTGAAGCCTTCAAGGAGGCCCTCGACGCTTTCGACGAGATGGTCTCAGCCGAAGTACCCACCAGCGAGATGTTCGGACTCCAGACGGCGGCCAGGAACGACCTGATCAGGATCGACGGGTTCAGCCCGCTGCAGCGCTATGCGGGACGGACGCCGACTGGGACGACAGTCAATCTGTCGGACGAGCCGAACAACCTGCCGCTCATCAGTGCCGAGCTGCAGGACGGTACCTTCAGCAGGGACGCCCAGGTACGACGAATGGCGCGGCTTGCTCACATCCAGACCGAGAACTCTGACCGAGTCAAGCGAGCGGAGGCCGCGCGCTTCAGGTCCTTCAAGAAGTACGAGACGGGCGATCTGGTTTTCGTCTACCGACGGCTCCCACCAGGGGCCTGGCGCAAGAAGGGACAGCCTCGCTCAATGCCTGGGCGAGGACGCTGGTACGGACCTGGACGAGTACTTTGTCACGAGCCAGCGAGCTCGGGACACCGACCTGGTCTACCTGGAACGGTGGTCAATATCACACTGGCTGGTCGCCTCTACCGAGTTGCTCCAGAACAACTTCGACCTGCCACGCCTTCTGAGGAGGCGATGGACTCCCTACGCTCGCGCCGCGAGCAGCCGGGGACCTGGACCTTCGGCGATGTCCAGAAGCAGCTCGACACCAATGAAGTGATCGACTTATCGAACGAGCCCCCGCCCACTGGCGAGGATTTGGCCGCTGATGACGGTGAATCGGTCAGCGCCCGCACCTTCGAGAGCAACGCGAGCGGACCCTGGGCCATTTCTGAAGACGATGATCGTCCTGTACCACAAGGAGATCCTCGTAGTCTTGACCCAGGAGGCGGCGGAGGCGGCGGAGGTGGTGGAGCCTTGGCGGCGCCACCAGGACTGGAAGAGCGACCTCTACCTGGACCGCGACCTCCCAGACGTATGAGGAAGAAGGGTAATCCCTGGAACGAGGCAACCGAGGTCCAGGAACCTCTCATCCAGCCAGCTCAGCCAGAAGCTCCCCCAGGCATTCCACAGGAAGGCGGCCACGAAGCTGGACTACCCGAGGCAGCTGAGCAGCCCATCGAGGAGGAGATCGTCATGGAAGCCCCTCCCGGCGACGACCAGGAGGAGCGCGCGTCGCAGCGGCCCATCGTGGCGGAGACTGACGATGACCTCGACGATATCTCGGCGCCCGACGTGAACGATAAGCGCCGGATCCGAGAGCCCGGCACAACCGAGCCCCCGGCTAAGAAGCAGCGGGTCAACGCTGCGACCCAGGAGGCCTTCTCCTACTACCTGCAGGAGGGCAACTTCTACAGCGACTATGCCTACAGTGTCCAGCAGTACGACGATATGAAGGAGAACGACGAACTTATCGTGCTGGACATCCCTGTCAGCAACGAGCATGCGTTCATGGCCTACATGGACGATCCCAGCAACTTCGTGGCATCGCAGGCCCGCAAGGGCCGAGTGGAGGTCTCATTTAAGAAGGCGACGCCTGAGGAGAAGAAGCTGCTACTCGAGGCCCAGCAGAAGGAGTGCACCTCAGTCCTCAGCACGAAGGCCGTCAGGATCCTCAGCCGACAGGGGATCGACCCGGCGCGCCTGCTGCGCTGTCGCTTCGTGCTGACCTGGAAGAAGGATAACCAGGGGAACGTACTACGAGGCAAAGCCAGACTGGTCGTGCTCGGTTTCAGCGACCCCGACCTGCTGCACCTACGGACAGAATCACCCGTTGCCTCCAGACGTGCACGTCAACTTCTACTGGCCATGGCAGCCAGACACAAGTGGAAACTGGAGAAGGCCGATGCAGTGACAGCCTTTCTCCAGGGCGAGACGGACGAGGAGAAGAGGAAGATCTACGCGGACCCGCCCAAGGATGTGCGTCAGGCCTTCGGCATGAAAGACGACGAGGTCCTGCAGTTCCTCAAGCCTATGTACGGATTTGTACATGCTCCTCGCAAATGGTGGCTCCATTTCAAGGACACGCTCAAGACGCTGCAGCTGGAAGTGATACAGTGCGAGCCGTGCGTCTGGGTCATTCGAGACGGCACGAAGCTGGTTGGCATGGTTATCCTACACGTCGACGACATGATGATCGCCGGCGACCATCACAACTCGGCATTCCTCAAGAAACGACAGCAGATACAACAGGCCTTCGAGTGGACACCTTGGGAGAGCCGAGCGTTTGTGCAGTGCGGCATCAGTATTCGACAGAATGAGGACTACACCTGCAGTCTCGCACAGGACAGCTACAGCCTGAACGTGGAGCCCATCAAGATACGACGTGGACGCAAGCCCACGGAAGGAGTTTCAGACAAAGAGAGATCAGATCTACGAGGCCGACTTGGTACAGTCGGATGGCGAGCTCAGCAGTCGGCCCCGTGGCTCAGTGCAGAAGTCTCTCTACTCCAAGCGGAGATACCTACGGCGACGGTCTCTACCATCCAGAAGATCAACAAGCTGATCCGCACCATGAATGACACTGCCGACGTAGTCATGATCATCCCGGCCATCGAGCAGATCGCTGTGGTTGGCTGGGGCGATGCTGCCTGGGCCGCCCGTATTACTGGCGAGTCCCAGGGTGGCGAGATGATCGTGCTGGCACCACTGTCTTTCCTGAGTGGCTCGACAGAGACGGTAGCGCCTATCTCATGGAGATCATGCAAGCTACCGCGAGTGGCCAGAAGCAGTACGAGTGCGGAGGTTCAGATGATGACAGAGACCCTCGACGAGATCAGCTACGTGCGCCTGTTCATCTATGAGTTAGAGTGCGGCCAAGTGGACTACACCAACAAGCAACACGTGAACGACGCCATCTCATCCTGCCCTGGCGTACTGGTCACAGACGGTAAGTCGGGCTACGACGCGATCGAGAAGAGCGAGTCAGCTGGTCTCGGCCTACGTGACAAGCGGACGAGCATCGAGTGTCTAGGCATTCGACGGCAGAAGGAGCAGACGGCCCTCCAGATACGCTGGGTCCACAGCGATGCCATGCTAGCCGACGGCCTCACCAAGGATCGAGCCGCCAAGGTCTTGCTGGAGTTCTTCCGGTCAGGTCAGCGTTGGAGACTCGTGGACGACCCCCTGCACCGCAGTGCCAGGAAGCGCAAGACCGAGGGCATGGACAGGCTGGACCACGGCAAGCCGTTATCAGCAGACGACGATGAAGCTATGCTGGAGGCCCTGATCTACTTCGCTCGCGACAATCCCTACGAGCAGGAGACCCCTGCCGGAGATATAGCCCTTTGGGGCACTGTGAAGCCTCTCACGCGCTCTGTGCTTTCTGTGAATTCAGTGGCCAGAGGCAGGTCTCGATGCCGTAACATCGATCTTTAGCTTTTGGGCATGCAATTCACAGCCCCGAGCCTGCCTCACTAGAGCCTACTTACGACAGATGGCCTCTAGAGGCCGTGCGTGATATAAGCTTCAGGCTCCAAAGGAGCCCCATGTATGTTAGTCAAGCGTTTCCCGGCGAATCGGGCCCCCTTTAGCCTCCAGACTGCAGCTAGCCTTGCTTAGTAGGCCCTCCGAGATCCCTCGAGATCCCCATTATAATATCCCAGAACCGGTTCATCCGAAACCGTTCTGGCTCAAGCCTTTGCAGCGTCTCAGCGACGCTGGACTTCTGGTGTGCGTCCGAGAGACGCAGGACAGCGAACTGCCCGCTGACAAACAGATCCTGTTCATCACCACAGTGCGATCAGCATCGCACCAGCACTGCCCTCAGATTCGACCCGAACGCCAACAGTACCCTTGGCACGTGTCAGAGTAGAGAAGAGAGTAGCATCAACAAGGATTACGATCAGGGCAGTGGTTCTAAGCGGGACCATTGCACAGGGGGGGGGGGGCGCGCGCGCGGTCTCTTTAGTCTAAAATTCCTCGTGTGGGAAGCGGGTGGCATTTTGCAAACGTTCACACCATCTCGATACAAAGTGTCAATCGGCGAACCGGGAACACCGCACAAGCCGACCTGTCATAGGCAAGACCAGGCTACGAAAACCGTGGCCTGGGCAACATCTCGATTCCGGAGGCCTGCAGTCAAAACTGCTGACGTCTCACTGTTGCTTCAGGTCGGGCATGTCCTCTTACAGGCGGGCTTGGGAGGAAAACTTCAAAAAACCCGCCATAATCAAAGATAGTCAAAATCCTAAACCAATCTTCCCCATACTATTCGTTGAACCCGTTTTTTGTCCACGGCAAGAAAGCAGAGAAGGAGGAGTCCGCTGCCCCTCAAGAGGGCTATAACCGAAGCGCACCCCGAAAGAAATCGAAAACCGAAGCCGGCTCCGCACAAACGGAACCAACACAAGTCACGCCCTATCGAGTCCGAACATCTGTCCGGCGGTCGTGGCCGAAACTCGGGCCACCGATTCGGAGGAGAGGGGGGGAGGGAGGAGAGAGGAGGGAGGGAGGGAGGAGGGAAGGGAGGGAGGGAGGATCTGACTCTGAGGGTGTCCAGCGCCATGGCGTCCGCAAGGCCAGGGGCACCTCTTGAGGCAACACCCCGCCGGGCCCTCGGCATCCCTCCCTCCCTCCCTCCTCCCTCCCCCCCCCGTGGGCCAACTGTCAACTATTCGCCCCTGCCGTCGCCGCCGAGCACGCCTCGGGAGCGGCCAAGAGGGGGGTGTCCAATAGGGGGGGATGCAAATCATGACCGGCGGCATGTGCGAGGCCCAGCGGGAGGGCCAGGGACGTAATGAAATGAGAAGAGGCGCCATGAAATCTGGGGAAATATCATGGTCCCCGCCATGATATCCCCCCCCCCCCTAGTCAGCAACCCCTCTTTTCCGCCCCCGAGTTTACAGTGTCTGAGACATGTTTTAATAAAGCATGTGTCTTGCATGCTGAAAACATGCTTAACACATTTGTAGACGTCTGGAAATTGCGCCTCCTCCATTGCTCGTCGTCCACTCTGTTGCTCGCCGTCCACTCCATCGGCAACATGCTTCCTCTCCATTGCTCGTCGTCCACAACCCTGGCCCAAGATGCACCCAGCTCGCCCTAGAAGGCCAAGTTGGCCTCCAGAGCGCCTCTCGCGAGGCCGAGAAGGGGCCCACGGGGCTCCGAAGTGAAGCGAAGTGCCAGGTGCATCTTTGGCAGGGGACACATCTGGCAACACCTGCAGGGGTGAGAGCGAGTGGCATCCGAAGATCGTGCCGCATCGCCGAGCTGGCCATCGCTCGGACGGCCACTCCCTGTGTTTTTTTTGGTTTCGTGCGTGGCTTTTTCGCCAAATGATCAAGGATGCTCCTCGATGGTCCTCGCCGAAGGAAAAATGCACACGTCCGAGCGATGCCAAGCGAGGCACCAGCGACGCTGGGACGGCGAAAGTCGGGCTCCAGAGCGAGCCGCGCCGCTGACGTATCAGCGATGCGGCGCAATCCGCCGACCCCATCCGCTCCAGCTCCAATTGGGAGGCCTGGAATAGGGGGCCACATGCGAACCCTGCCCTTGCCCCTGCCCCCCACGATTTCTGAGGGGGAGGGTGGGGTTCACTTCGTTCGGGAGCTCCCGAGCGAAGTGAACCCCACCCGTCCCCTCAGAAATCGTGGGGGGCAGGGGTAGGGTTCGCATGTGGCCCCATATGGAAAGGGCGAGGCGGCACTTAAATGGACGAGCGAATGTGTGAACACAGCGAGCACGCCACAGAACGAAACGGACTGCTGCTGCTGCTGCTACTGAGGCAGAGAAATCCAAGATTGCAGCCAACGACGCCGGCGATGTTGCTCCGTCAAGCGCTGGGCCACTGCTAGTCAGTGTCACGCTCATTCAACTTTCCGCAGGGGGGTATGTGGACGCATCCAATGTTTCATTACTCTGCGGGCAATGACCGATCGGCGCTGTTGTGCACGGAAGTGACAGAAAGTGGACTGGCAAGAACGGGCAAGCACGAGACGGTACGGAAGAGAACGGAACGGAGTCCAAAGAAATAGAGCGGAACGGAAGGGAGCGGTGCGGAGTGCTGCAATGCGCAACGGGAAGGAGTTATGCAGATGTAGAAAGGTGGAACGTGGCACTCAGAAAGCAGATTCTCCATCTACCGAACGCCATAGTACCACGAACGCCCCATGCAATCCGCACTGCAACGGTAAGTGCGAAAAGACCATATCCAGCACTGGCTTGGGCGCGTTCTGACGTCAGAGAACGCCTGCAAGTTGCATGAAAGGATGTCTATCCGCCACTGTGCTCTGAGGCACGAGCAGGAGGGTCCTCAGATCCTTCGAGTCCTCCGCCCTTAGCCTTGTCCAAGATGGCCCCGACTCGGCCGCAGACCCGTCCAAGATGCCCGAGATGGCCCCAAGACGGCTCAGGAGGCCCCAAGACGCCCCTCAGGAGAGAAGACCCTCTAAGGTGGCCCCTGGAAGTCAAACTACTGATTTTCCTTAGGCTGTTAACGGATTTTAGCCGTCTGACATTTTCTGCCCTTCGACGCTCCAAGACCCCAAGACGGCCAAAAACGTTCGGAAGGCAGCCCGAGAGGGAGCCAAGCGGGGCCCAAAAGAAGTCCCAGAGGGGGAGCACGGCTAGACATTTAGAGTCCTCCGCCCCAAGAAGACGGCGTCTGCGGCAATCACCAGTGCAGCTGCCGTGCTTCTCACCATCGGTAAGCTGCTTAGGCGCTTCAAGCCAAGATCCTGAGCCTGGACAGTTTGAACCCGAATTGCTATTGTAGGAATGGCGGTAATACACATGGCTATGGTTGCTAACCCGTTTGTATGCAATGAATTGTGGTGCTAAGTTGCTGCGTTGCTTGTTTGCCTTGCGACGTGGTTTGCGTCACGTGGCTGCTTCGCTTAGTTGCCGTTTCGCACATCGATCTCCACAATATTCTTGAGTCCACACGCGTAGTGCGCCACAACCGTGCACACACACACACACACCCGTCGGGTTCACTTGTCTAGGACTTCAAGGCGGATCCAGCCGTGGCGACAAGAGCCCCCCCGAAGGCTCAGAAGGGAAGGGGGGACCAGGAGGAGCAGAAGGAATCCCTCTTCCGACCCCCCTCCTCGAGGAAACGACAACCTTCGCTTTAGGGGGACGGCAGCTACCAGTCCATAACCAAATGGTTGACTGACGGAGCGCACTGAATGAAGAAAGCTGGTGCTTGGTATAAGTTGCCGTAGCCCGAGAGCGAAGGCGAGAGCTGAAAGTCTGCCTCTCATCCGAGAGGCACAGAAACTGCACAAGCATCATCACGCGGAGGCCCGCGCGGATTCTCGGGTCGGAGCTGACCCCGCTCGAAGCGCGGCGGGGGTGGCGCAGAAGCTGCCGCCAAGCGAGCGGTGATGGGGTCCGACGCCGACCTAAGAAACCCACGCGGAGATCGGAGAGTTGACGCCCACGCGCCGCCTGCGACTCCTCGAATGCCAGCCTCGGATGCTGAGGGGGAACGATCGTGAGGGACCAGCTCAGGGGTGAAACATCGAGCTTCAATCGGCGATACATCGCCGATGGGTCGGCGAGGGGCAACCGAGGGAGAAACCGCACGCTCATGGGTGGGGTTTGCTGTCAGGCCCATATCGGTGATGAGTGGCCGACTGAAAGCCGATGCTTTCCCCCTTAGCCCATGGTCCCCTGACAGTGCCCCTACTGCTCGTCGAAAGCTGGCATCCGATCCCCGCCCGCCCCCCAGGGGAGAACGAGGATGAAGAGGAGGAGGAGGGGGAGGAGGAGGACCATCGCACAAACTGAAGTGGGTTCGGGTTCGGATAAGGCCTGGCGGCGTCAGCGGCGGCGGCAAGCCTGGGCCCCGACTCGATCTGGCACCAACTGCAGCGGGCTCTAGGAGACACACATTGCGAAACATTCGAAGGCAGCCTGTGTTGCCCTCTGCTGGGGTCATCTGGCTGCGTCTGAGTTTCATGCAACTCCCTCACGACTCGGGCTGGGGGAAGGGGGACGCGAAGGACAAAAGGCGAGCGGGCACTGCCTTTCGGACGGCGGCCATCCAAAGCTCTCGTTAGTTGGAGTTTCATCCCGATGCTGGGGGGGGGGGCTCGTTAGTGGAGTTTCATCCCTATGTTGGGGGGCCCTGGGACAACTCGTCTGGATGCTTCGGCCATCCTGCTCGCTAAAATAACAACATGTTTGGCACATCGGCACATTGAGAAGGACGTTCGGACCGATGTATATGAATAATCATATTCCTACATGTTTATTACCCGGACCCCCCCTAAACCGGCCCCCCCCCCCCCCCTAAGGGACGCCCTGGACACCCTTACGGACGTCGCGGCAACCCCCTGGAAGCCCTTGGCAAAGGTCCGCTGGTTTTTCCGGGCCTCCCAGGGCGCCTTGCCAGGCCTCGCGAGTAAACTTAAGGCGATCAGAAGGGTCATCGGAAAAGGCGCACGAGAGACCAAAGACAGCACAAGAGCGCTCCAGGAGGAACCCCGATGGTCCGAAGACTGCCCAGAAGGGCCCCCGAGACGCCCAACGAGGTCGTTAAGAAAACCCCCCAAAAGCAAACATCGTCCCATTCCCAAGGGAGAATGTATATCTATACCATATCCGCTTTTTGAATCTTCGCAGCGTCCAAGACGGCCCGGTGGGCTCCCAACATCGCCCCACGACAGCCCAAGAGGCCCCTTCTGAGGGCTTGAAGACGGCCCAAGAGGGCCCCAAGACTGCCCCCGAGAGCCCCGAAACTGCCCACAAGACACCCAAGATGCCCCCCAAAGGCTCCCAAGAGAGACCCACGACAGACATGGGAGACCCCCAAGAAGGCTATTGGAGGCCCCCCAAGAGAGCCCTAGGTGGATTCAGACGACCTCTGCAGGGCCCCAGCTCCCCCAAATGGCCCGAAACGGCTCCAGAACGGCCCAAGAGGGCCCCAGGACGGTCCAAAAGAGCTCCAAGAACGCCCAGATGGCGTTCTCCTAAGAAGTACATCGAGCTAACCCGAAGATCTTGGTTCCAGGCTTGAGGCTTGAGGTCTCAATTCCTCGATCGAGAGAGGCAGGTCTCCCCCTTTCGTCCCCCCTTCGCCTCTTCAGCCCCCCCATCATCCCTGCTCCCTTCCCTTTCCCCGTTCATAGACAAGTGCCATCGCAACAGTTTGATGCTTCGTGGTTTGCCAGCACCTTCGCGCGTGAAAAAAACATCATTCTTTCCCCACTCTGCACTGGCGCTTCGCGCCATGCGCCCTGTTCCAGACGCTTCCCCGGCAAAGCAATCAATCATCGCTTGATTCAGCAGGGGGGACCTCGAGCCCTGGACGGGCGACCGGCTCATTTTTCTGATACCCCTGGTGCCTGCTGACACCGCGTTCGTCCGATGTGCTTGCGCGCTTGTGCACAGGAATGTGGAAGGAATGATGCTTTTGTCACGCGCGAAGGTCCCTTGAGGAAGTAAGGGATGTTCCCATGACACGCCGAAGCCGCAGTAGCTCCGAACCAATCGATGTTTGGTCGTTTCTGAATGCCTGGGGGGCCCCAGGCACTCAGGAAGTCTTCGATCGTCGAACTTCGAATCTAAATCCATTGCCTGTCTGTCTCGATCGAGGAATTGAGACCTCAAGCCTCAAGCCTGGAACCAAGATCTTCGGGTCAGCTCGATGTACTTCTTAGGAGAACGCCATCTGGGCGTTCTTGGAGCTCTTTTGGACCGTCCTGGGGCCCTCTTGGGCCGTCCTGGGGCCGTTTCTGGCCGTTTGGGGGAGCTGGGGCCCTGCAGAGGTCGTCTGAATCCACCTAGGGCTCTCTTGGGGGGCCTCCAATAGCCTTCTTGGGGATCTTCCATGGCTTTCGCGGGTCTCTCTTGGGAGCCTTTTGGGGTCATCTTGGGTGTCTTGTTGGCAGTCTCGGGGCTCTCGGATGCAGTCTTGGGGCCCTCTTGGGCCGTCTTCAAACCCTCTGAGGGGCCTCTTGGGCCGTCTTGGGGCGATATCGGGGGCCCACCGGGCCGTCTTGGACGCTGCGAAGACCCAGAAAACAGATACGCTGAACACATACGTTTTCCTCAGGGAACGGGACGATATCTGCTTCTTAGGGGGCTCTCTAACGCCCTCTTGGGGCGTCTTGCAGGTCTTAGGCCGTCTTCAGACCATCGAGGTTCCTCTTGGAGCGCTCGTGTGCTGTCTTGGGTCTCTCGTGCGCCTCTCCGATGGCCGCTCTGATCGCCTTGAGTCTGCTCGCAAGCCCTGGCAAGGCGCCCTTGGTGGCCCGGAAGAACCCGCGGACCTTTCTCAAGGGCGTCCAGGGGACCGTCGAGACGTCCGAAAGGGCGTCCGGGGCGTCCCTGGGGTGGGGTATGGTTTAGGGCGGGGGTCCGGGTAATCAAAATGTAAAGATAAGAGTATGCATGTATATCATGCCCGCGGGAGTTGGTCGTACAGCTGAGAGTGGTGAGCACAGTAGCCTGGACAGTGTTCGCGCGCTCGCGCGGCTATCCATTGCTCGCTCCTACACCTGGCACGGCACGCAGAGCATACCCAACGATTGCCTTTCTGATGCCATTGGTGCTGCTTCCTGGGGATCGGTTCGACCGAGGGAAGGGGAGGTCTCGGAGGGGGAGGAGTGTCGAGTCCCCAGGCTGGACATGCAGCTGTGGCTCCAGTGGGCGAGTTCAGAGATTTCCCTGGCTTTTCCCAGCCTCGACCTCCAGCTTTAGGACACACCGTAGGCCACAACTGAAGAGCCTGGGAAACGAAACGCAACCACTTCGCTAGGAACTTCGTGTGAGCCAGGAGGAGGAAGCGGAGGAAGAGGAGGGGGAGGCGGAGGAGGCGGAGTAGGAGGAGGACGAGGAGCCGGCTGCACGCAGGAACGATCCTGGGCAAGAGTGACCACTGGTGCGTGCGCTGCCTTCGCGGTGGCACGGCGGGGGCGGGGGCCAGACCTAGGCGCGCAAGCAAGCTGCTACGGTGGGGGCACTGGATGATGAACCCTTGTGCGGCAGGACCTGGGGCAGAAGAACATCCCTCGAGAACACGAGACCGTCCGCCGGCCAGAGCACACCGAACATCCAGGGGCACCCTCCCCAGGATGCACGAGAACCTCCGACGAGCACGAGGAACCTGAGGGCACGCTCCTCGAAACGACCTCGATCTTTTACACCTCGGTCCGACCGTCCGAGGAGTCCCAGGTCTGGAAGCCGGAGCAATACCAACTGGGGCTCGGCCACGCACGTCGCCACCGCCCTCCTCGGACAAGGAGCGCTCTCCAGGGCCCGAGGCCTCTCCGGGGCACATTTTCCCTGACGCGAACGCCCCCACCGCATCGCACCGTAGCCGGTGATCGCGAGCGCGCGAGCGAGCGCGCGATGGCGCGGTGCAGGTCCGGCAGGACCGGCCTCACGAGTCCAGCGCGGGGGGGGGGGCTCAGGCTACGAGGGCAGCCTGAGGGGGGGGGGCCCTCAGGAGACGCGTCGTGAACAGGAAGCGGAGAATCGTGCGGTGTGCGGTCTGAAGTCGGAGATGGGGAATTGAGCCGTCGTCGTCGTCGTCGTCGTCGTCGCCGTGGTCGTCCTCCTCGTCGTCGTCGTCGTCGTCATCGTCGTCGTCGTCGTCGTCGTCGTCCGTGCAAGTATCGACCACACTTGCTCCAAATGTTTAGCGCACGAATCGGCGACTCCGAAGGGTGAGGTTTGCAAAGGGTGTGGCTTGCAACCGGCGCCCTGGGGGGCGGGCGAGGACCTCCACAGAGCTCTCCGCCGCGCCCCGAGGAGGCCCGACGAGGACAGCGTCGCGCTTCCCAGGCCACAACGCTGCCGATTGCAAATCGCACCCCCGCGTGACGACACCCTCTGTACAAAGGGAAATTAGGACACACAAATAAATACACACAAATAAAAATAGTCCCCATATTTTCTCATATTTTCTGGGTTTTTGTCTTCCCCCCCAATTCCCATATTTTCGCATATTTTCCTGGGGATCGACGATTAATTGTGTCTGTGTGTTTTTTCCCCTCCTGACTGCAGTCGCCGAGAAAACCAAACCGAAGGTCCCTCCGGCGAGGGGCCACGGAGTCCCCCCTGCCCGACGCCGGCGCCTCGTGGCCGAACACCAGCGGCACCGAGGGGCCCTCCGCGGCGGACGCGTCGTGAAGCTGCGGGGCGCGACGGCTGGCGAGCAATCCTGGCGCCGTCGTCGCCGCCGCCGCCGCCGCCGTCGCCACTGTCGCCGCCGTCGTCAGCACCGCCGCCGCCATCGCCGTCTCCGTCGCCGCCTCCGCCGCCACCGCTGTCGTGGCTATCGCCATCTCCGTCACCGCCTCCATCGCCGCCGTCGGCGGCGAAGCCTGGAGGCGCACGGCTGTTTGGTCAGCCCGCGGCCTCCCCCTTGTCTTCTGCATCTTCACGCACGGGACCTGCTTATACTTGTATCATCTAAGTAGTGAGCCGTGTTCGCCCTCCTCTACCTCCTCCTCTACCTCCTCCTCCTCCTCCTCCTCCTCCTCCTCCTCCTCCTGCTCCTCCTCCTGCTCGTGTTCATCCTGATTTTAGTCCTCGTCCTTCTGGTCCTAATCCTCCTCGTCGTCGTCGTCCTCCTCCGGCTGCGACCGCGCTTGTGCATGCAGGCTCTTCCCCCCTGTTCACCCCCTCCCCCTCCTCCTCACCCTCGCCTTGCCTCCCCAATCCTTCCCCGTGATCTCCGATCCTTCGCCCTCCTCCCGCACGCCCGCGCGGTGAAACTGCGCACGGACAGACCCCGGCAGCCACGACTGGCCCCGGGGCCTCGGCGAACCCCTCAAGACCCCCAGCGCCTTTCGCAAAGATCGGGGAGGAGGATGTTCGCCATCTTCGACCTCCTCTGAACTGCCGCTCTCAAAAGCCCAGGGCCGTGAACAAAGCGCGGCTCGGGATGAAAAACGAATTTCTGGCATAAGGGTGGGGACTTCTGGGGAAGCCAAGTTGTCGGAGGCTGGGGGGTGACATCGACATGCAGCGGTGGAATCCCAAACCGGGAAATCGGGTTCGGCTTCGGTTCGTGCTGTGCGTGGCGTGCGTGCGGGCGAGGGATAGCATAGCTGCACCAAGGCGAACCCGCGCCCCAGCGCGCATGGTTCGCCACGTCTGTTCTTTTTGGCATAGCTGCGCTATGCCAAACAGAACCCTAAATATATCATAACAAGCTGCTGGGGAATCCTGCCGCTTCCCCAAAGCATCCAACAACAGATCCAATTCCCCAGACTGGGTGTTGGCCGTGTGATCGGGTGCCCCCCGCGTGGGAGCCTGTCCATGCCGACTACTTCTGCTGCTGTTGCTGCTGTTGCTGCTACTAAAACTACCAGAACTATTAGCTTACCTACTACGACGGCTACTACCACCATTACAACTAGCACTAGAACAACAACTACTACTACTACTACTACTACTACCACTACTACTAATAATAATAATAATAATAATACTTCTACTGCTACTGCAACTGCTACTACTACGAGTATTACAACGACTACGACTACGACTACGACTACGACTACGACTACGACTACGACTACTCCTACTCCTACTCCTACTCCTACTCCTACTCCTACTCCTACTCCTACTACTACTACTACTACTACTACTACTACTACTACTACTACTACTACTACTACTACTACTACTACTACTACTACTACTACTACTACTACTACTAACGACTACTACGACTACTACTGCTACTACTACTACTACTACTACTACTACTACTACTACTACTGCTACTACTAAACCAATACACTGCTACCCCACTACTATTACTAGCTACTACTTACTACTACAACTACTACTTACTACTACTACTACTACCTACTACTACTACTACTACTACTACGACTACTACTACGACTACGACGACTACGACTACTACTAGACTACTACTACTACCTACTACTACTACTACTACTACGACTACGGTACTACTACGACTACTCCGACTACTACTACGACTAGTTATACGACTACTACTACTACTACTACTACTACTACTACTACTACTACTACTACTACTACTACTCTACTACTACTACTACTACTACTACTACTACTACTACTACTACTCTACTGCTACTACTACTACTACTGACTACTACTACTACTACTACTACTACTACTACTACTACTACTACTACTACTA